ATAAATTTTGAAAAATAAAATGTAAACTTACTAAGATGCAAAATTTGACGAAAAGCTCGTGTTCGTTTATACAATTCATACACACTTTACTTCAAAATTCACTTTTTTTCTTGTTTCAAAATGTATTTGGGGATGTGGTTAGGGTTTCTTGGTGGAGGAAGGGATTAGGCCACGTTCATTAATCAGTGGATCAATCACACCTAAGTCTCTAGAGAGTGAATATTTTCCGGTTAAAGGAAGAACACAGCTTCAATACGCACAAGACATGGTCAAATTGTCTCTTCGCAAATACAATGCCTTAAACGTAAGTTTTGTAACATATTTTGTCTTCTCAATTTCAAGGTATGTTATATCTTAACTTTTTTTTTTGTTGGTATGTTATTTTAGGGAACCGATGTGAAATTGGATCGTGTTGTGAGTCTTTTTGTGGTACATGGACTTCGTACATCACTTTCATGGCGAGAGAGGAAGAAGATAGTAACACTCTTGTGGAGTATCAAGCAAAGGTTGCGAAGTCTTATCCTATCTTTTGCAGGCCAAGTCCTCAAGTTAGATCATGATGATATGTAAAAGTCTAAACGATCTTTCAGTTTATTTAAGGCTCATTTGATGGTCTTTTCTTGCTTCTTGTATTTTATAACCAAAATACTTTTATGTAATCAATTATCAAAATATAAAAAATCTAGTTATGTAGAATTAATTGTACATTGACACAAAACACTAAATTGATCAATGATTCTATTAATTCCCAACTGAACAAAATATCAATGTTTATAAAGACAGAAAATGAAACAGTAGTATGGGTTTCAGAAAGTTATACCAACTATGGTCTGGACAAATCTTTTATTGAACACTTATTTTTTATTTTGCTCATAAAAAAGCTTTTATTGAACACCTAAACTTTAGAGGTAACACTACTAAAAGAGGGGTAAACTTGTAGGGAAACGAACCTGCATCCACTGCTTCTCATACGTAACCAAATGGTTCCAACCTAATTCCTCCAGCAAACTCAGTTTCAGTTCGTACAATTTCTTGTTCGCAATCTCGTTCTCGTTTTGGATCAAGTCATCAAGTACCTGAAAATCATTATCATCAAGTCATCAAGTGATTTCAGATTATTATCACCATTTGCAGTTTTTCTTGGTACGTTTAAAGATAAGATAAATGTGTTTACCTTCAATGCGGTCCCGAGTCGTGAGAGCCGTTTCTCTCTAAGAACAGTGAGAGTACCGAATTTAGATGATTTCACGTCTACCCATTTTGTCAGTTCTTTGTAATTCTCTTCGAATTTATCCTTCTGGCTACTTACTTCTTCTCCTTCATCTTCCTTCTCACCCTGCAAACAAATGAAATATAAATTAGCTGACTTTATTACACAATATCACCGTTTATCATATAGTCAGATTTATAAACAGTTAACGAGGAGATAAGTGGGATAAATATTGGTCTTGCCTTCAAATTCTCGAGTCTCGCCATGGCTAACCCTTTCTGGTATAGTGCATCTGCCAGTTGATCACGTGTCATCTCCATTTTCTTCTTCAAATTCTAATTGGCAAATAAAACAGCAGGTGTTATCGGAATCGTAAATAAAGCAAGTTCTAGTTCAAAATTGAGAGGAAACACAATCAATAGAATATCACACCTCTGCTTCCTCATCTTCTGGTTCACTTTTTTGTAGCAAGAATCTTGCTAACTCATCTACGTCAACGCTGCATACTACTTCGTTTGCAGCACCTATAATCTGCAAAAAACAAAAAAGAAGTTGAAATTTTCAACTTACATGCTTATTTCTCGAGCATCTACAAGCACTTAAAAGATTTGACATTAATAACTCATTTTGAAACTTTACTTGCCTCTTTGTAATGGCTGATTTTGTCCCCAGTTTCAGACCGAGATAGCAAACCTTCCAAAATCTTAGCAAGCAATGGAGTATAGTTTGGGTATTCAGACTGCCAAGGAACATATGCTCAAGTTAATCTAACAGTGTTATAGATTTGCAAACTATTTCAAAAGTTTCAAAGTTAAAGTGGCACAAATATTATTCAAAACAAAGAAATGAAAGCCTTTAGCTGGCAAACCTTGAGACAGGTAGACAACTTTTTCCACTCTGAACGCTCTTCCTCAGTTTCTTGTTTTAGGCTCCCAAGAAATTTGATCTTTGTGTCACGAACCTAATTACAACGAAAGTGCTTTCGTAAAACAGTTCCAAAACAGTTGATTGAATTATATAATAGAGCATTCAACCATAAAGTTGAGCAAGAGCCAATATGGAAAACATGCTTCTGCAAATAATACCTCTTCTTCCAAGCGTTCTGATACTGATTTACAGCTATTTGGAGCAGAAACTGCCTTTTTCTCTTCCTCAGGCTATTGAACAAAATAACAAAAAAAGTTCAAAAAAAATTGTAATACAAGGAAAAAATACAAAATATAAGCTCCTGTAGCCAGATTGTCCTGCTGCATTACTGCATCAAGTATCACAAGCCTATGCAAAAAAGGTAGTTCTTTCAGATACCTTATTTGGTGGAACCACATATGATATCAGATAAGACACAGGATTATCCTTTGGACTCTTCCCTTCTTTTTCATCAAAGGACAATTTCCCATATGAGATTTCTCCCACTAACACAGATCCTTGGGGAGTATTCTGCAGGTGAAAATACAATTTGTACATTTTAGAGAGATATGCATCAGGACATTAATTATACTTTGCAACATCTAATAAACCTTTGGTATCTTATCCTTTGTTGGTGGGCCCAGATAAAACGCTTCCTTCACCCTGTGAGGTGATAAATGAGGTGAGAAACACGTTCAAAGAACAACCAACGCAGCAACCAGAAAAACTTTTAAACTGATAATGAACCAAAAGAGTACCCTGGCATTAGAACAGAGGACTTAAAGGCACCATTTCCTGTGATCGGACCATCTGGTTCAGAATGTAAGTTCAGCCGAATCTCCTGCATTACATGCAAAATAGATGGGGAAAAAAATCAGCTCTTCATGAATTCTAATGTTTCCAAAAGAATAGGAAAATATTTTGACATCAGAAAACACCCAAAGATTTAACTCAAACTTTGTTTCGCAAAGACAAATATGACATATAGCTTTTCAAAAAAGTATAACTAAGTCATAATCTTACCCCCATATTTCTTTCAATAAACACGATGAGCTGCTTCAACTTTTCTAGCAGCTGCACATTTTCATGTCTGGTGAAAGCAATTAGCTTTGGAATATAAGACTAAACACGTAAATATGCATTGTGAAACAATGTTATCAACCATGAAAAAAACCGTTTAGAGTAGCTGGTCAAATAGTCGCATTAAGAAAAACGGTTCTGCCTGTAGATTAGTATGTACAAACTGGACTATTCAGATTTTAAAACAAACTGCAACAATCAAAGATGTAGTACAAACCTCAGATACAGCTGAAGTTTATATTCTCCCTTGGGAAGTTTAGAAAACTCTGGATAAACATCCCCCGTTGCATATACACGCTGAAAGAACGTCATCACGTCTTAAGGCAAGAAATTACTATAACGTAAATTTGCTAGACATAAAAGCAGAAAAGCGTTTTCACAGTACATAACCGAGCTAGGGATTCATAAACATTTTTAAACGTATCAGGTTTTTAGTTGACTATGCCACTGAAAATTTACAAGAACTATACTTGTATTACCCAGCCTTTTAGGTGGCTGTTTGAAGAGTACCTTGTTGGCATCAGAGATCATATAAAATTGGGACTCAAACTTCGTGTCATATATGCGATTGTTCAGTAGTGGTATATACGGTTTCACTTCAGCTGCATCTTCTAATTTGAACTTGTAGCTACAAAAACAAAGAATGAGGATTGCTGTAAGAAAACTGATAAAGAGATAGGCAAGCAACGATAGGAAGAAAGCAGAAGCATAACCCACGTTAATGTCAATGCTAGTATCTGTTTGCCCGACAGTAGTCTATCACGGCCAGTGGCTAGAGTCTTGAGTTGTGCATCAACAGGTTGATATGGAACACGTATCTGCAGTTAAACCAAAACACCGTCCATAAGCGATTCTACAAACAATTACAGAAAAGGAGAAGATACCATGTTCAAAATCCATGTACCTTATTCAGAACAGCTATGGGAACGAGTTTTTCTGATGCCAATAGTGCTTCAGCTTCAACTTTTATTGGTGCTTCACTTCCATCAAGTATCAATTCTTCTTTATCGACACCAATTCCATGGAATTCAATCTAAGATACCACAAATAACTTGCATCAACTCATTTCTAACAAGTCACAATATGCCCAATATATTTTCAAACATAGAACTTTGTTCATAACAATAGGGTGGCAACATGAAGACTGGTCCAGAACACTTATATATATATATCCGCCTGTAATTCGTTTCCAAAACCATTCCTAACAGAGGATGCACAAACAGGAGTGATTATTGCTAAACCAGAGACTTAACCCGAAACTAAAGAGAGGCTAAAATTGGTAAGGATACCAAACCGC